ACAACTGGATCTGATGCAACCAACAATCCATGAAAGATGTCAATTATTGTCCGTTCACGGGATCCTTTCCAAGAATGGCTTTCACGCATTCGACGAATCTCCTTGTTCATGCTTTCTTGGGCCTCTTCAGAGAGCATACCGATTGGAATTGAAGATTGGTCGATAATTTCACTTCCATGAATCAGCAATTTATGAACTGTTGTTGGCATGTGATACCAACTATACAGTTTTACGTAGTGGTGAGCTGTTTCCGTCGCGTATGACTTGAATTTTGAAACATCAATGCTCTCACCACTAGAAATCGCTGTTAGTAAAGTCCGAAATCGCAGTATCAAATCCAAATCAATTCCTGTAATCTCCGAAGATACTTGTGCATTGGCGAAGAATCGTCTAGCCGTATTACCATTGTTGCTGGTGCCAAATCCTGAACGCGGTTTGTCGATGTGTAAACCCAGTCTATTGAAGAATTCATCTTGTATGCGCTTTTTGGCACGGTTGAATTGTTCGATATGAGAAGTTTTCACCCATTTGCAGAAACTGAGCCGATAAGCGATATGCAACAGGCACTCAAAACATCTTATCCAGCAATGTAGACTGCTTAGACCCAGATCTAAGAATTGAGTAACAGGCTTTTTCAACATTTTGTCAATTTCGTTGAATTCCGCTGACGTTGATTTACACAAGTAGCATCTTTGGGCGGATGTTGTGTGTGTTACGGCATTGATGGTTTTACCATCTACCATACTCATGATAAGCTCGAATGTGACACTGAATTCTGTGTCGTTAATTGTTAAAACAAACGGGTGCAACTTTGCGATTTCGGTATTCATCCGATCATATTCTTGACGGGTTGTGTCACTAGTTTCCTTAGCTAATTGTATTGAAACTGGTCGACAGTATCGGGTTGACGATGGATAACAGTTTTCCCAAATTACATTTACCCCTTCAACCAATTTCAATGGAACAAGAGATGTCAAGATAACATTAGCGTCTGAGCTACCAGCTTTTTCAAATTTTTGATTGTACTCAGTTAAAGTTGTACCATCCATTCCCCATTTTAGGATAAGACGTAAATCTTTATGACTCCAATTCATATAGTCTGACTCTACAAGATTGATTAATCTTGATGTAGTGTGGTTCAGAAGCTCTTGCAATTCAATTTCGCAATGTACTTCTGAAGAATTGAAATATTGGTTCGAAGGATAACACTTCTTTTTAGCGGCAGTGATTTTGTCATACGATGGGTAGATGTTTTTCGCTGGTTCTCTCACGATATTATAGCTACGCTTTGATAACTTTGCATCGATAAAAATAGCTAATGCTTGTTCATCAGACAACGTTTGTGAAGTGACACCAGTCTTCAGAATGTTTGCAATGTCCCTCTGACCTTCAGACCGCAAAACGACTTCCGTAGCAAACCGCAACTCACCTATGAAAAGTATGAAATAGATATCTTCAAATATTAATATAATGATGGTGGAGTAAAATGAACCTACTAGAGCTACATGTTCGCCGCAAATCTTCAGTTTTGCGACGCTTGACTCGGTTGCAGTTATCGTCAAACTCCTTTGAAGGACGACCACCTTTATTTCTACCTTCCTCTGATGTTGATGAGCTAGGTCCAGAAAGCACAAGAAAATCTTCGAGCCATTCAGCGTTTGCTTTTAAGAAGCGTTCCTTCATCCGTTTTGCGTTGTTCCATCGACGCAAGAACTCTCGATAGAAGATTGAAATATGTTCCTTACATTCTTCATCAATATTTCCAGCATATGTTGCAATGTAGTTAGTAATTGCAGTACGCTTTTCTTCCGAATCCGGTATAGCATAGACCGCTTCCAGTATGTTTTTTCTTTTTAAGAACATTTCTAATTTAATAAAAAAACAATCATTAAATGTAAATAATACATTTTTTCAATATAAGATCAATTACCTTTTGGTTTAGAACACATTTTACGACTGCTTGTTTTACTATTTTTTTTTTTCAATTCCTGCCGGATAAACTTCACCGGAAACTTCCAGTATCAAAGTCAACACATTTAAACTTTTTAAACTACTCTGGTATTCGGTTGACGTTTGAACAAGCTTCTAGGAACATCCGAATTTTACATAAGAGCAGCACAGTACTTTCTTATGAAATATTTCAGTGTCATACTGAATACCCGAGTAAAACATCTGAAAGAATGTAAATTTTAGTTTATATTGAATATGGAAACAAAGTCCAAATATCGTGTAACGCGAAACATTTAATTTGGTATGGGACGATCCACAAATGACGTAGCATTTTAGAGGGGAGGGGGTTTCAGAAGTTGTGACCAGCCGTGTATTAGGTATGGAAAAATACGCTACGAGGGGGGAGGGGGGACCTAAAATTGATCAAAAATATGCAACGTCATTTGTGCATCTTCCCTATGGAAACTGAAATGTTTCGCTTTACGTAATGTTTAAACGGCCCCTATATTTGATTATTTAAATTATTACCGGATTCGATGACAAGATAAAATGAACTTAAAAATATCATGTGTTGAAATAACTCAATAAATTATCAGTCATTAAATTTATTCTGATCCGAAAGATTATTTCGCACTTTAGGGGGATTAGTTTGCATTTTTATTGGTTGTTGACTTCAAAAATGAACTCAGCACCCAAAAATTAACATAATATGTCATTTTCAGCCAGTTTCATTGACATTTTAGGTTTCGTCCGACTTTTGTTCGCAGTGCCGCCACTGTGCGACGTCCAATTTGTAGTGAAAACTTAACTTTCACGAAATTCAAAAGTTCCATGCGAAGAGCATGGAAATCGGTAGTGGTTATCACAATAGGGGGAATCTTTTCCTTCTTGGCATTAAGCCGGGAAAGTTTACTAGAATTTTTCTTGGATGATGGATCATTCTCATCATCCGTGAGCAAATCAAATTGATTACTCAAATTAATTTCATCAGAAGGGGGGTCAAGAGTTTGCCCCTTTCTTTTGCGTTTAGGCGCCATGGCGGCAGTAAATTTTTATCCAAATCGACTTCCAAGCAGATTACTATAAGAATCTGAAGGATCGAAGAGGAATTTTCCAAATCGATATCCAAGAAGGATTACCTCGGGTAGGGTCCAAACAAGGATCGAAGAGGAATAAGAGTTGAACAAGGTAGAAAATTTTTACAGGTTGAGCACTGAAAAGTGCTGTTTAAATTTGTTGTAGCTTTAGGTAGTAGTAACACTTCCTTCAGCAAAAAGCAAATAGATCCGCACGGCAAGAGAGCACGATGCGGACTGGATAGTGTCGGTTGGATAGTGTCTGCGAGTGGCGATGACTGGATGGCGTGCATCGGATGGCGACCTCCGGATAGTGTTGGTCGGATAGCGTCGGCCGGATAGTGTCGGCCGGATGGCGACATCTGGAAGGACCCGTCTGGCCAATCGGGTGCTCAGGCCGAGGAGATGGACGGCATGATAGCGGTAAAGCGATTCCACACCACGAGGTCCACGTTAGAAATTCGCAGCCAGGCGACGACACACCGCCCGAATCAACTCCCTGAACCGCCCACTCAACAGTCCTCTACTCACTGTCGTGCTCTACTCATACTCGTCTTCTCCATCACTTCACACCCTGAACGTGTTCGTACTCTATCGCTCTTCGTTTGCCCAGCTTTCTCTTTCTGCTGCTCATAAATTTAGAGTTCAGTGCGTTGTGGTTTATGGCTCTCCGTTACTAACCTGCCAACATTCCTCATTTGTCGTTTAAACTTTATATTCTATTTAGCTATATCTACATTAAGGGCCCTATACACCTACAAAAAATAAATTAAATGTTACCAAACGGTAACACTGTAAATAAAATGGGAGCACTGCTGGAAAACTTTCTTATTCACAACATTACGTGCTGTTTGACTGTATATTCAGGGACATCCTCTTATTGAATATACCAAAGGAACTCAGACCAGCCCAGTAGTTCACTTTTAGATCTAAATACGAAATGCAGGTTCTAGTGTGAGCTCAAGAGGAAGAGGCAGTTAATCAGACCCCATTAGTAGCCTTAATTCAAATAATGCTGCAACGCACACAAAACAAACTACAGAAGTCTGTTCATCATCCTCTATAGTCGGTCTGCAACAATGTTCCCTACTTGTTTCCGCAGCTGATAGACCAATGCTTTTCACATCACGATAGGCTAGGTTTCTGGTCTAGCTTAGAGGACATTATAATACCCTAAAACACAGGACTTGTATTGTGATATGAACACAAAACAAAATCGCACACCCGCCACTCCCCGCGTCATCCTAAATACGATTTATTCTTGCGATTTCAAACCAAAACATTTTAGGTGTCATGACCGGCACAATTGGCACACCTGCGGTATACTGTCAAAAAAGATGACCCAAGATTGGTGTGCGGAGTGACCTACCTCTTGACAAAATCACTAATATAATGATTTACTACAGCCACTACCCGAAAATCGGTAGGTATGGCCACCCTGGGTTTCGCACTTTCGGTTGGAACTGGTTTCAACCCCGATAATAAACGAATTCGCTATAAGTGTGCCATGGTTTTACCAGAAAAAAAAACGCATGAAAAAAAATAATAAGAAGAAAATAGATTCACTGTTTAAACTAATTGACCTGTACTGCATTCATTGCATACATGGGAAAATCGGCGCCATGCTTGTCTCGCACCAATCCACCACAGGAAATGATGCATTCTTTGCGGTTGTTGGTTGTAGTTTTTATCTAGTTTCAATTTCCATTCAGTCGCCAATGGCTTTTTGACTCGCCATTGAAATGGGTGCCTTATTTTCCTATCCACCGAAGCGTGTAACTTTACCGGGCACATTTTTTTTTTGTGCGGGTGGCATGGCAATGGAATGGATGGATTTGGTTGAGTAATGCTGTTTACCCCAAAAAAAAAATCTAAACTTGATCATTTACATGTAAACTGGACGTGGATAGAATGTCTCGTCTCATGCGAACCGAAATAACCTACCGATTCCGTTTTTCCATTTTCACACACCAGGACCAGAAGCGGCCCATCTATGAGGACATCAAAATCGATACTGCATTCCGCAAGATCAGTCCCAAAGCCATCGGATTCTACGTTTGGCGGATACAGAACGATCACGTGGAAGCCATCCCCAAGGAGCAGTACGGGACGTTCTACGATGAGAACACCTACGTAATCTATTCGGCGTCCTTGGCGGGAACGATCTCCGATAAGAGTACAATTGTAAGAATGGACACAGTAGCATATTGGGGCCTCTAGTTAAGGTATTCATTTTATGATTACAGTGTCGCGAGATCAAAGCCCCAGGTGCCGTTATCGAACGGTACATCCACTTCTGGCTCGGAGCAAACATCACATCGGATCGCTCGAAATCGGCTGCGTACAAAATTATCGAACTAGATCTTCATCTGGATCACAAAACCACCCAGTACCGGGAAAGTCAAGGCCATGAGGGAATTCGGTTTCTGTCGTATTTTAAAGACGATGGTATTCTGTGAGTTCAGACGAAAGGTTTCATGTTTGTCAATTGAAAAGTCTATAATTTTGCACATTTTTCAGAATTCAATCCGGAACGGATCCATCGTCATATCCGCAGTTCCCGCGGTTGTACCAAATCAAGGGTAAAACAACACCGCAATGCATTCAGCAGAAGGCGATCACGTGGCAACACTTCAACTGTGGTCACGTGATGATTCTGCAAACGCCTGCGATTCTGTTCGTTTGGGTCGGTCGATCGACCAGTTCTTGCGAGAGGATATTTGGCCTGAAGATCGGAACCAAACTTAAGGAAGCGTTCAAAATTCCAGAAATTGCCATCATTGACGATGGGTACGAACAATCTATGAGCCCCCAGAGAAAAGAGGTGTGGAATGGCTTCCTGAGCCTATCGCAACGATTCGTTCAGCCATTGGCACTGACGCCGTCGAATGCGGACATCGTTCTGAAACTCTATCAATGCGACACCGTCAATGGAGTGTTTCGAGTTGAGTTGGTAAAAACCGGTGCCTTGGATCAAGCGGACCTGTATGGCCGGGACACCATCTACATAATTGATTACTTCTGCAACGGAGTTTGGATCTGGATTGGCCGGAGCTCGCACAAGCAAAACCGTGCCGAAGCCATGCGTCACGTGCGGGGCTATGTCATCAAGGTAAGAGATAGGGATTCAGTGGGAAAATTATGATCTTTCTCAAATTGCCTTCCATTGCAGAAAGGATACCCCGCATCAACTCCGGTAGCACGTGTCATAGACGGTCTGGAGCCAGCAGAGTTCACAAGTCTTTTCCCAAGCTGGGTCAGTGCGGACATGAATGGAAACTCGATCAAAGGTCTTTCGGAGAAGTTTGACGCATTGACGTTGATCCAGCGACCCAAACTGGCTGCCCAGATTCAGTTGATGGACGATGGGTCTGGTGATGCTACCATCTACCAAATCGGAGTCGAAGACGTTAAAGAAATTCCCAAAAAGTACGCCAAGACCTTTTATTCGTCGAACTGCTACATTGTCCACTACCAAATTTCTTGCACCTCGGAAAATAACATCAGTTCATTGGCCAATTCTATCAAGAATGTAATCTACCTGTGGATCGGGACCAGCGCGTCGACGGAATTCCGACAGACGGGAGAGGCATTCCTGGCGGAGATGTGCAACCATTTGAAGAAGAATGTTGTGCAAGTGAAAATCAGTGAAGGAATGGAACCGCCACAATTTTTGCAGATCTTTAAAGGAGGTCTGATAATCTTCAATTCCAAGAACCCTGGCGGGGAAGGTATTATGAACATTCGCAAATACCCTAGCAGTTTTGTGCTGAAAGTCGTTGGGAACTCGACCTATACATGCAAGGCAGTACAGGTTTCCAGCAAGACTCTGTACTATCCGGAAGATTGCTACATATTGAAAGCCCCGGACAATGAGATTTGGATCTGGTGCGGGCAGTACTCGACTGGGGACTCCAGGGAGATGGCCAAATCGATAGCATCCATTTTGGGAGAGTACAATCTGGTGATGGAATCCAACGAGACGGACGAGTTCTTCAATTCGGTTGGCGAAAAGTTTCTGAAGCAGCTGAAGAAGACTCATGGGAACATTATAACTCCTACTATGAATGTTTCGATGACCTGGGAGAGACAACGCATCGGGCTGTACATGTGTTCATTGGAGCAGGAAAAGCATGTGATGAGTAAGATATTCGGTTTTACGCAAAAAGATCTAAGGCCGGAGAATATGTTCCTGCTGGATGCGGGAAACATTGTGTATGTGTGGATAGGGGATTTCGTTGGCAATGATGATCGGACACAGTGTTGGGACTTGGCCAAGTATCTGATCACAACGCATCCCGTTCAGAGGGACGCCAGCATGCCAATAGCGGTCGTTCGGCAGGGGGAGGAGCCCATCACCTTTATTGGGTTCTTCGACAACTGGGATAAGAAGTATTATGAGGTAAATAAAAAAAGATCTTTGTAAACCATTGATGTTAGATGTGCTAATTTTGTTTTAGAACTACGTCCCCTTTGATAAGATCCGTGCAGAGTTGGAAACGCCAGGAATTCCGGTGCCGGTACCACGAGGCTCCGTGCATAGTGACAATGCCACTGGGGACGACTTTGACCGGTACCAAAAGTACCCGCTAGATATGCTGCGGGGTGATCCTACCAACCTGCCTACCAGCATCAATCCTACCCGGAAGGAGATCCATCTCACCCATGATGACTTTGTAACCGTGTTCAAAATGCCTTATCACGACTTTGAAGAACTGCCCAAGTGGAAGCAGGTCGAGCTAAAGAAGCAAAATAAATTATTCTAGAGAGCACCGTTTATATTTTCGATTATGCATGTTAAAATTTTATTATGGAATAAATGTACACCATCGTTTTAAATAACGACAGTTTTTACTCACACCGATATGGGGGTAAAGGTTAATACAAATAGACACACGTCAATATCTTAGAGAATGCTTGAAATTTGGATTAATTACTCAGTTGACATAGTAATGCAGTTCCCCGTCGGATCCAGTGTTCGGGTTCGGACGATGGATCGCAGTCCAGGTTGAGTGCAATCACAAAGTTGGTACTGTGTCCTGTGGTCGACAGAATACCCCGACGTTCTGCAGTTTTGTACACCGGGCAGTTGTAGGTGTGTCGTAGAACAAGGTCGTCCTGCTTCAGAGGTAACATCCAGAGCTGTAATGCAATGTTTGAATTAGTTGTTATACTAGAAGTAAATATAACTGAAGACACTCACATGCGGCATCGTATCGAATAAAACTCTAGGGAAGGATTCCTGCAGATAGCCCTTCTTCTTATCCCACCGTGCACCTTCCAGAAACAATCCGTACACGTACACTCCATCTTCCGGTTGATCGTCGAACTTTGTCTCCGTAAGAATCGTATTGTCAAAGACCAGCAGGTCAATTGGAATTACGTACTTCCGGGCAAAATTCTGCTGAGCTCCCGTCAGGAAAGCTTGAGTGAAAAAGAAACCCGATAGCCAAAAGTCCACGGGAGGTCCGTTGTCGTACCATCTCTGCAAAAATTGCAGCCTAGCTAGAAAATCCATGATGTAGCTTCCCAATGACTTCAAGCTCGGATAGGATCGCTTGGCCCAAAGTGCCGGAATGCGTCCTGCCAGCACTGAAGCGACGACTTCTTCAATGTCCGGAGACATGACCACCAGTCCTTGCATCGCTTTGCTAGCAGTTGTCAAGCTGGTACGAATACAGGCGAGTAACTGGTTAAACCGGACCATCTCTTGTACCAGAACTGTATTCATGCTCTGTCGACGAGAAAAAAGGTAAGCTATAAGCTCCACGGAAAGTCGCTACACATATTACCTGATGGTAACTGGTTGGATATTTCTCCAGTGTAGCATCCCGATCGAATTCCTTCGGTAGACGCCTGAGGATGTCGGTCGACACGCGGATGACTATTTCAGCGGGAGTTTCACGGAAAACTCCAGTTGAAGTGGTCTGCGAGCAATCGTGGTGATTAGAAAAATTGCAACCATGTTAGTCGACAATCGATACAAAGTAGTAATAGAACACAATCAAGACTTAAAATCTAACAAACAAACAATTCATAAAGCAGAAACGCTGGAAAAACTAGGTAAAGAGAGCCAAAAATGAGAACTTTGCCGAACATACAGTATGATGCTGAAACTTAAAATGTAACAAATTTCGACAGGCAAATTTTGTCGAACCGCATTCCATTGGTCCATGGGTATGCCGAAAGTTGAATGAATTCTACCAACCTGACGATCCAAAAGAAGCTGTTGTTGATTTTGGTAATTTTGAGAATAGGGAAATACAGAATTAGAACATTTTCGCACAAACATGCAAGCTTTACGGCAAATTGACACACGCTCAATTCACTCGCCTAGGTACTTAGCCTGGTGCCGACAACTTACCTTCATCTCATAGAGATCCTGATTGCATGAGTAAGAAAGAAACATGACTATACAAAGAACATTCAATTGCAAAACAATATTTGTTTTCCAAAAAAAAAAAAACAAATATTGTCTTGTAAACATCTGCCGATACTATATCAATACATTACCGTTCGATCCTGGGCAGCACATTTGATCAACAATCAACATTACTACATAAATTCAACACAACAACGAACCGTCAAACTCACCTGAGTATTCAGCGTATTCGTCAAGAGCGAATCCGTCTCTTTCTGGTCTTTGATTATATCGGCGTTCTCGTGTAAGCCAAACACGCCCGGCTTGGCGATCACAGGTAGTTCCCTAATATACGTCATAAACTCTTCGTGCTCCTTCAAATCGGGAATCTGGTATAATCCCTGTTCATCCAGCACGTGACCGTCCACCTCCAGAACATCCTTGTGGTAAAACTTTTCCAATAGTGTAATCAAACATCGGCGATCCCAATCATCCGTGACTCGTCCGCCGTAGTTACACTCTCCAGTCAGATAGCGCAGCGCTACGTACTGGACCTCTTCGTACTCGTCCAAGAACATTCGCAACTGCGTTAGACTAATACTGAGATCGGTTTCGTTGAACTCGTATGGTATGTTCCATCCAATCGGGCCAAATTGGCGTCGCTCTTGAACGATTCCGTGGAAGAAGCATAAGCTAAAGAGCAGCTTCTTAAAACTGGCTGACTGTTTGCACGCTTCGAACCATTCTACATTGGAGATGGGATCGCTCATGTACGATCGGACAATGTTCATCCGAAGCCCCTTCGGCGGTTCGTTGGTAATTTTGATTCCATTCTGCAAAACGACCACCGGGAAATGTTCCGTTGGGTAGGATGTCAACCACAGTCGGAAATCGGGATGGGTCGTATCGGGCTGGAAGCTTTCGCAGATTCGTTCCAACGTTGGCATCCAGCTTTGCGCCAGATGACAATTTTGCAGTAGCACCCAATTACCGAACTTGGTTCCCTCGTCGATCATCTTGGTCGCAATGGGACCTTGGCCTTGACCTAGCGATAGGGAGTACAGGCGATTCGATCCGATACCTTGGGTGTCAGCAAAACGAAGCAGAGTCACTGTTGGATCAGCTCCCGGAGTAAGCACAAAGATCAACGGTACACAGCAGTTGGACTCATCGTACGAAGCGGATAGGTTGAACGGCGGTGGTTCAACGTATTTGCTGGTCATGACACCTGAACGAGAAATTGATTAATTTAAGGAAACCAAATCATTGGAAAGCGGACGAACCTTCAACGTAAATTTCAATACCCGGTACCAGTTTATCCGAACGGAAGCATCTTAAAAGAAGCAACTTTTGGAAAGAGGTCAAGTTCGACTTCCATGGTTCGGGAAGTTCGGCACTCTGAGGAGTATCGTCATCGAACAATGCCTTCCATCGTCTCAGATTTCCAACGACATGTTCCTTAAGGCCTGTGAACGCTACGTACGTAGTGAGTCGGCATATCTCATCCCAGGATTTCGAGGGAAGCCATTCAGTTGGATTGGCGTCGGGATTGTCCAATCCTACGCCGCCGGTTAGCAAGAACATAAATTCTGTCCGATCGACCTTGCCCTCCTCAAACTGCAGGTTCGTAGTGAGCAGTAGTGAAAACAAAATCTTATCCTTCTCAAACAGGCTCCTGCAGATATTCTCATACAGACTGTAGGTGAAGTAGGTCCTAAGATCCTCTAACCGGGCCGGGACTTCGTCTACCTTTTCGGTGTTATCGATCGCTGCCGTGAACAAATTGACGAACCAATTCAGACTGTACTGATACATCGGATCGATGTTCGCCAGGTCTGCAATTGTGAAGAACAGGATCGTCGAGTGAGCGGCGATCGACGTATACTGCAACCGGGCGATATCGATCTGACGTTCAGTCGTTTCGGCAATGATCTGTTTTTCGTTGATTTCGTTGGCTAGCGTCTTTGAAGAACTTAGGACCGACACAGCCGTTTCATCCTCGAGAATATTGCCTTCGGAGCTGAGCACTTGCAGGATTTTGTCTTCTATCTCCTGCAGTTGGCGCTTATTTTCGGCGCCTTGTACAATCAGGGCGTTCTTTTCTGTTTCCAGATCGGGTCGTTCTCGGGCAACCGTTATCGACAGAAGCTTAAATGGTGCGGGCAGTGAATAATATATGGCATTATGTTCATCGAGTAGCTCTTACCTGATCTTGCAATCCCGTTTTGGTGATCATAAAGTTCAACAAAGTGACCTTGACGGCGATCTCGGGTAGGTAATGGGGGTTACGCAACTTCGTCGTTATATAGAATCTGAAAGCAAATTAAGAATTTTAATCGCAGCAACTTCAAACCATCAATTCGTAGCTAACTTGAACGAGTCATTATATTCAATTATGGAATCTCCCAACTTGATACACATTGTTCCACCTTGCCGGAAGACCTGCTTGAGCAATATGGGCTCCAGCAGAGGTTCAATCTCTTCTCCGACGTTCTCCAACAGCACAGGTAGCCCAAATTGGATAGCGTTTTCCAGCACCCTCGTATAATCGGGCTGATTGAACCGAATTATACAAATCCGGTTGGCTTTTTCCATATTACGGACCCACTTATTGGCCTGACCTTGGGGATCGATCATCAACGGCCAACGACGAGCATTGCTGTAAATATTTAAAAAAAAAAATCAGTAGGAACTGTACGGCACACATATCCTCCAACTTACTGAATGATGATGGCACTCTCCACAGAGAACGCATCGCTTGGCAGCCCAAAGATGTTCCAAGCTCGAATATCCACCGGATTTCCCAAAACATTTGCTAGTTGGAAATCTTGCGAACACACAATACCCTTGTCAAGGCAACTAACTATCCAACGCTTAATCTGCTGGGCTCGGAACTGGATGGTAAATGGACCAAGATAGGCAACAACTCCTGATGCGATTAGCACATCACCCGTCAAGTTATCGTAAACCCGTGCCAGGTTAGTCGCAGCTAGTTCCCAGCGATCCTTTTCACCTCCTAGGCCGGTTATGATTTCCGTTGCCCGTTCCAACTTCTTCATGCACAGTTCCACGTTTGCTTGCAGCTTGGAATGCTGTTGGATCTGTTCGTCTAGCTTTCTCTGTAGTTCGACCAAGTTTTCCTCCACAATCGCCAACTGTTCCAACTTCTGGTTCAGTTCATTCATGGCTTCTTTGCTCTTTTCATCAGCTTCCTTCAGTGCCAACTTCTTCGGAGCAATTTCCTTCGCAACCTTATCGTATTTAGCGATCGCAATCACCCACTTGCATAAACCTTCACAAGCCATGGAGGCCGTCTTAACCTTGTCGGGATCGAAGTTTTCATTGTTCAGAATACGCTCCTCCAGCTTCTGAATCACCCTCGGAGGAATGTCGTCCCTTTCGTAGTTCAACAGCCCATCCATAAACTTCATATCACCCAGAAGCTTCTTCGCTGGACCCCAGTAATCCTCCACCATACCCACTCCAGACGGGGCCTGAACACGATCCGGCTTCAAGTCCTTCAGGATACACACCGCCTCCATCACGATCTTCACTCCGATCGGTGGACTTTTCATCGTTTTCACGATCGTTATGTCAGCCGGTGTTAACGTGTTCAGCGCCTCAAGAGCCGTGTTCAAGATTGGCATCGCATCTGCCAATTTCGCGTCACAATCCTCTTTGATCTCATTGGCAGCGGCTGCCTTTTCCTGCGCGACAGCTTCGTCCTTCTTGACCAGTTCCTTCTGTACGGCCGCAACCTCACTGTCTGCTTGGACCTTGGCCATCTGGTGGGCCACTGTCTCGGCAGCAATCTTCAGCTGCGGCTGTACAGCCTCCAGCTGTTCTTGCATCACCCCGACCTGTTGGGCTGCAATCTCCAGCTGTTTAAGCCCTGTCAAGTAACGATTCTTGCCGGTTAGGACGTCCCTAGAACAAGACAATCACAGAACATTGTACGGAACTGGACAAATCGATACAAAAACGAAACGAAAAATTACGTTCTCTTTTTATCCAGCAACGTCTTGAAGGTATGGATTAGCTCTAGATAGGAGGTAGGGGTCACGTAGTTATGTCGACTCAACCGTAGCATAAATTCATCGGATAGCTCCTGGGTAGACGTGTGGAACTCCATGCACATGTCAATGCATACGTTGCGCTCTTTATCTGGCATCTCGACGGTAGACAGGAATTTGGTGGCAACGGCCACCAAGGCATCTTTTGGCCATGGTTGGAACCAATCAATGGTACAGCAGTTAACAATCGATGGAAACTTTCTCACGCGATTACGGAAATAATCTCCAATGGGAGACATCGACAGCACGATGTGCAGCTGATCGCGAACAATCTGTAATTGGAAGAGGGTTCTACACATCTGTCCACTGTTCCAAATCTTCCATAACGTACCGTTACAAACAGATTGAACAGTGCGACAGGACTTCCGTCAGTTTGCTGTGACTTCTCTTTTTGTCGATCTAGCTGTCTCATTTTTTCTATGATTTCTGACTTTTCTTCGTTCGTGAAAAGATTGGGAATTTCACCCGAGTTAAGCAAATTATTGATATCTTCCAGAAAAGATTCTTCCTTGATTTGAGTATCCGTAAAGAGGAAACAAATGTGTTGATCCGATGATACAACCTTCTTCAGAAGGTTCTTCATATCTTCGCGCCATTCTGTCATTCCGTATTGCCGTGATATTTCCACCTTTGCTCAAATAAATGTCGTGAAACTGGAATAAACATTGAAATTGAAACAACTAATCTTACCTGGTACAACTCGTATGAACAAATGTGGGAAGCAATTCTGGCCAACGATTGCCTACCAGAACCTCCAACTCCCACCAGCAGCGCATGGCTTCGTGGTTGTTTGATGATTCTACAAATTCTCGACAAATGTTCGATGGCAAACCGGAACAACACCAGTGTCATCGGTTTCTTGGACATGTTGTTGTACTCAACAATATATGACTCCACCACAAAGCCAAGATCTTCCATGTCTTGCACCTCCAGGTACAGCTTGGTATCGGCCTTTGGATTCGTAAAGTCACAGAACATCAATCCCCGAAGATTGGATTCCTTTAGCTGACCGCCCTCGACAAATCTATCGAAAAGATCCTTTGGATCTTCATGCATGTACTTGTCGATGACCGTGCATAGCTCGTTGAACAACCATTCACGATCGGTATCATCGACCAGCCTATCGCCGTACACGCGAATGATCTCATGAGCCCACATTCTTCGTATTGAGTTGAGACTCTCCGTACCCTCTGGGACCGATAACAGAACTCCCTGAAAAAAAAGAAATCAATCAAATGATTCCATACGATATACCGATGAATCTGTACAAACCTGAATCACTCGGGAGAAGTCTCTCAGGTTGAAAAGGTAGTGACATTTGGCCGGTGTTGGCAGCAGCTTCCTCCGTGCCTCTCTGTAAATCTGCAACGTTGACAGTACAATTTCGTCAATACAAGGATCGAATTCTTTTGAAAATCCTCGCGTATCCAAATGCCAAAGAACGATCTTGCTGAAAATCCCCGTCAGCGTTGCATCATCAAACTCATCCAGAGCGATCGTATTGAAATGTCTTGAGAATCTTGGTGTTACTGTATTTCCTGTACTGGGCGGTCCCATAGCGCACATCAGCTGTAGATCGACTAGCTTCATTGGAACAACTTCTTTCCGATCGTACCATATCGAATGATCGAGGAACATCCGAACAATCTCAATCGGCGGCTGTGCCCCATAAGTCTCCTTGAGGGGCATAGAAACGTCATCGATGAACACGACGCATTTCTTCCCCAGGGGAGGACCGTAGACACCTTTGCGTCGCTTGTCCAGCTTTGACATTATAATGTCCTGAACTTGATTGGCCGAAGTCTGTGCCGAGAAGTTGATCAGCAATGGTTTGTATAAGTTGGTATCGTTTCGTTTCAGCAAAAAGTCAATCGTGTAGACGCTTTTACCCGTTCCAGTAGGGCCTACCAGCAGCAGATACTTTCCATGCTGAATGAGCAGCTCAAGCAGAGCTGTAATTCTAATGGTTTCCACAGTTGGAACTATTATCTGATTTACAGGCATATCACGCTGGATATTTATGGTCTGTCCAATCTCTTCGGCCCAAGGACGCCATTTACCTTTGCCTTCCTTTGTAAAGTGGTAGTCGAATACGGTACCGCCTTTCGGGATTTGGAAAATGAATGGTTTTGTCAGGTTCGGTACCTGAAGGCTTGTTGGAATTTTGAACTTGTCATTAATCTCCGGTGGAAACACCTTTTCCGTCAATGCACGGAACAGTTCGCTGAATTTCGCTCGACTCTCCGTCTCTAGCGGTCCTCCGACAGCCCAAATGCAGGAAAAGAAGAACACACCTTCTAGCTGCGCTCGTACGTCCACTTCGGACACCGCTTTCATGTAGGTCTCGTTTCGATAGTCATCCATGAAACAGTCAAAAAGATTCATCACCGACTTCACCAGGTTCGAGTCGGAAGTTGGCATCATCTCTCTAACCCCACCCTTGCGAACGAACCACAGGAGAATGGGACAAAATCGTATGAACATCTGCGTTATTACTTGTTTGTTGACCGAGTGAAGCGATGGTGGCAGAGTGTTTTTCCATGATTCCAGAAGAGGTTCCCATCCTAGTGTGCTTGGTTCCAGGTAGATCATTCCACATCGTGATACGGTAGCCGGTGAGGCGGCATCTAGGTCCATTACTTCAAATATCAAATTCGTCGTCGGTGCTAGCTGGATAATCTCTCCGGACATCAGGCACAGCTTCTTGTTGTCGTCCAGTACGGTGTTCATATTCTCGATCCAAATTGCATCTACTGGCCCATCAAATATCAACCACTTTCTATCGGGAGTCGTACTGACGGCGAACTGTCGGTAACTGACCGCCAATATTCCATCGCTCCATTCATGTGAAACGGGATCAAATTGACCGTACAGCTGCCCCATCGTGATCGCCTTCGGATTAATTACAGTGTATTGAGCTTTGTGTTCACCCATTTCACCCTGTTCCTCAATATAGCCCAGGGCTTCGGCTAGCATCCGGTAAGCTGTAGTCTTTCCCCCAAAGGGAGGTCCAACCAGCATCAAACCATGCCGCACGATAATCATTTCGTACAGTTGCTGCACTTTTTCGAGGAAGAACGGAGTACACTGCATGTTGTTGTGCTCGCAAGCCTTTTGTACGGCTGTGTTGAACACCACATAGTCCGGTTCCGGCAGAACCACTCCAGGGAACAAATCCGATATTATTCCCTGGAACAATGGAACGTCCTGGTTCAAAAATTTGGCCAAGTTGACATCCTTGATCGATCTCAGCACCAGAATATCCTCTAGTTCATCGGGATACCTCAGTTTCAACGCACCAGCCGCCTTCAGTACCGACTTGACCGCCCGCATTCCGTAGTCATAGTGCGGTTGAGAACTCAACTGTTCAGAACACAGACGGTACGTTGCAACGATTTTGATGGCCAGTGGTTTTGCATTCAGAAAACCGTACGAGTAAAGTTCAATCTCGGAGATCAGTGCATAGTCCGGTACCATCATGGCCACGGAGCGGAACAATGCTTTAAGGTTATCGGGAAGATCTGACCGTCCCGCATAGCCAGGATTCATGGTAATGAAAACGGCACATGTCGGATCCAAAGTCAAAGTGGTTCCTTCAAACACCAGCGTCGGTGAGCCTGAATTGATGCCTCGCTGTATGGTCAGGATCTGTTGAGCTACGACAGACAGCACTTCCAGATCGATACGATTGAACTCGTCGAAGCAGGACCACGCACCGCAGGATGCCAGTCCTTTGAAGAACTTGCCCAATGCGATATAGTCCAACCCATCGGAACAATTGAACACGACGCACTGCTTGGCGACTGCTTTTGCCAAATCTTTCGTGGTTTCGGTTTTTCCAGTTCCTGCGGGCCCTTCGGGAGCTCCACCCAGGTGTAGATGCAGCGCACCGAATAAGGTTCGGAAACACCGATCAGTCAAGGGAGTGATCACCAATCGTGAAGTGTTACCCAGGTATTCGTAGCCATACATAAGGGTTGAATTGATCATCCTGGTTGATAGGTTCTTCTCTTCCATGTAGTATCTAAACTGAGCTAGCCAATTGAAATCGTCCGATTTGGTGGTTTGTTTTTCAATGAGTTCCGTCAGAACATCTCGAGCATGTACATCTAGCACGATCAATGCTCCCAATGTAATTCGGTTCTGGAGGGCTAGCTTTCCTCTCACCAAATCTACGATGTGTGATATTTGAGTCTTGCAGGTTTCCTTGTATTCTTCAAGGGCTTCTAACGGATCGGCACTGTCAAAACACAGAGTGACCTCTAGCGTCCAGAAGGCACACGAAATACTTTGTACGCATTGTCCTGGCCACATTAAGACCCATTCATGGCGCACTGTCTTAGTGTAGGATTCGTAGGATTCGTCAATCTTGATGTGAACGCTCTTCTTCATCGATGTTTCCAGATCCAGAAGCCATTTCTCCACCTGTCCCTTGGCCTTGCTGGTCGACACCTCGTCGACCAGATGAACCTCTTCGCCTTCACTCGATCGCATCATGGTAATATCAAGCGATTCAGTGAAGTGCAGCGTGGCGATTCCTTCGAAGCACTTCTTCAGATGTGGTTGCACACGGGTAGGATTCTTCGTTTCCGACAGGATCTCCAGCAGTTCGTCGTTGGAGAGGAAGAAGAACCGTGGGAAGTAGAGACGTTTCTTCTCCAGATACTCGTTGAGACCCTTCTGAATGATCTCCAGAAGGCTGTACGACTTCTTCAATTTCTCCGACATTTTGTCTATTTCAAGGACCGCTAGGACTTTCGTGTCGGCGAACACGTTCTTCATCAGATCCTTCCAGATCTTATCCACCGCACTGAAGCGACGACCCTCTTCAGGCATTTGCGATTGGATGTCCGGGCTGGAGAATATCGGCTCCAGATACATCCACGTCGCCTGTACCTTAAGCCAATCGTCTAGGATATCCTGCAATAGCGTTAGTTTCTTTTCCCATGCCCTTTCCAGATAATAGAACTGTTAATATTTGACTCACCGCATCAAAGCCTTAGCACAAGAATACTTACAAAATATCCGCTTCAAAAGGTTTAATGTACAAAGAACTCTTCATCGTTTGCGTTTTGATGATGTGATCGTCGAGTAATACCTGAATGTCGTCAATCGCCGACAGGATGTACGTTCCCGTATCTCTGTACGGCATCACGACGAATGCCATATCGCTCCACTCGTTGACCATTTTGATCATTGCCTTCTCCAAGTTGTTCTCCTTGGTTGCGCTCTCGGAAATGGTCTCGAACCTTTGGATATAGTCATCCAAGCCGTAGTCGATGACTTTCTCCAGCGTGAGATCCGGAGCAATTCTGATGGGAAATCCAATAATTTCCGAGACCTGTTCCCAGTGACGCTCCTTCATACCGGGATTACCTAGGGTTTGAACTATTGGTAGATGCGTTTTGAACTGATCGATGCGAATCTTAATCTGCAATGAAGTGCTTAAATTAGAAAACGGCATTACTAGAATCTTCTCGTAGATCGAATTACATCGTGCGCCAATCTCTGTGTCTGATACGAATCGGCAAACTGCTTTTCAAGCTTGTAAACCGTCCGATACAGCGTACTGACTGTCTCATCCACCTGTTCAGGGTCATGCAAACCGACCTGGGAGTGCATCCACAATTCATGCTTATCCATGAATTCCTGTCCCGCATCGTACAACTTCTTGTACGGAGTCAGTTTGTCATGACACTGCTTGCGAAGTGGATACTGAGACAGTTCCCATCCGTAGGCAATTTCTTCCTCGTTGATCAAGTCGATCTTCTCCATCGCGGTGACCAGTTTATTGTCGAGAGCAGTAGCCTTCCTTTTATACTTTTGAAGGTTCTTAATTTCTCCCCAGGAGTCATACTCCTTTACCTGACCCCAGTAGATCTCCAAGTCTCGGCGGAAATTTTCGATTCTCCGTCGCAAGGAATCTTGGTATTCTACCACCTTTTCTGCGATTATGTTCTTATGGTCCTGGAAGATCGTTGACATCTTCATGTACCACTGGAATGTATTGTTATTCTGTTTTATCTCTAACGGAGTGAAGATGGTGTAGTCCGTTAAATACAACAGATGGCTTAGATTGGTTTTCAGCCTCTCTTCCATCTCCGGAATGGTTGTTTCTTCCATCTTGATAGCATAGGCTTTCAACGACATTAATTCGGCGGTGTCTTTCGGAATGGTCAGTACCTTCGTAGCGATCACTTCGTAATCGTTTGCTAGTTGGAAGGCAGCACTCTGCTGATCAGCTGTCATCTTCGAGATCAGCTCCTGCTGCATAAACTTAGCCAGACCTTCCAGCGTATCGATTAGTCCCTCCCGATGAAACTCGTAGAAACCCATCGATATTACGCCGTAGATTTCCTTAGCCACGTTATTTTCCATTTGCTTGTAGTGCTGGATGTACGTGCAGTACTGTTCAAAATTCGGACGCTTCTCCATGAAGTGTTCGATTTCGTCTATGTCGGTACCATTCATCAATGTCATGTACTGGTCAAAGTCTTGCATCCGAAGTTCCGGGCCGATTCGTTGCTCCTCTAGAACATCATAGATTCGCAGCTTGCACTCGGATATTACGTCACCAGATATCTCAGGCTGAAATGGATGTTCGTTATGATGGAATGTAAGCAGCCTGTTTGTAAGTGAAATATACCTTCAGCATGGGATCTGGGCAAGGAAAATTCGGTCTCAGCTGTCTCTCAATGCGTTTGAAACTCTTGACAGCTTTAACGATGTTGTCGATAACCTTGATGATTTCGATTTGAAATCTTGCGAAACTTGGAATGAACGAAAGCGTATCCTGGTTCTCTAATAGAATTGTTAATCGAAAACCTTGATTTGTTTTCTGAAACATAGAACAACATTAGATCTTAAGCATCTACGAAAACCCTCAACTGCTGGCCATACCCCGACATCACAGATATAGTTTGTGTAAATCATAACGCTATTGACGCACAAGTTCTGCAACTGGCGAGTCATGAGTGTAGCTAACGAGTTGAAGAATTTCTTCAGCATCTTCGGTTTGGTTGTCTCATCTGGGATCAGCTTCTTCTTGACACCTTTGTTAAAAATGCCTTTGATTGCTCCGTACCATTTCTCGTTCAACGTAATCTTTGCTTCCTCGATTTGTTGGTTTACTGTAGACTGTCATGGGAAGAACATATAAGAACTTAATAACATGAATAACATAGGACCTTCGGTAGATTACCGTAAACTCCGTAAGGTCATAAGCTTGACCCTTTTCGATCAGCTGCTTAACATCCACCAGCAGCAAGTTTTTGAACGTACTGTCCCAAAGTTCCAAGACCTGCTCCGAGCAGGCATTGATCGAGAATAGATTTCTCTTGATCTTGACCCGGTTCTCGTCGTACCGGTGCTTCCACTTTAACTTCAAATCCTTAATCTCCAATCGCGATGCTGTGATGTCTTCTTTCTTCATGAACTTGGTCATGGCATCTCCGAGGACAAAGTCAACCACTGCCTTCTTGACGGCAAAGGAGTAATCATCTTTGATCTCGTCGAATATACCACGCAGGGCATCTTTGTACTTGACCAGATGCTTTGGAATGAGTTTCAAAATGCTGTAAATAGGTGAGGTTATTATTTTTAGGAGAATTCGACATGGGGACAGCTGAGAGATCGCACCGTTGAAGAACGCGCTTGTCGATCGGTGCCACGTGCACTGTATCAATACCATGTCTAATGTAGTGGTAGTACCGCAGCAGTTCCCGCTCCTCCACGTTCGGAAACGTGTTCGCTTCGTCGTCTTTTTCGTGATCCTTCCGTACGATTAGCTTGATTAGTCGCTTTCGGAACTCTTCGCGATCTTTTCGCAGCGCAGTGTACGATCTTATTTCTGCCAGGATTGAAACAAAGAAATTAGAAAATGGAACACAAAGAATGCGTAGTGAGTTACTCTTTTTCTGTGAGCCCCTTTCCGTCCTCGGCTTGGACAACGGCGACGGGCGCAGCTTCGAGCTATGTTTCAACAGCCTCTCCGGTAGGGTGAACACATTCGGTCCGAGGAAATCGCACTCGGTTGGCATGTTCAACTCTTGCCATATTCGCTTCCGGTTGTACTCCGGGTTGGCTTTCCGATTGATCATGGACATAATCCCGGATGGTCCAGACGATAGGGGAGCATTTCGGTTGACTGACCGTATGTCTGCGAGCAACTTCGTTCGCACCGGGTTTAGGTGATGCACCCGGCGATGCTGCGGCGAACGACTCATCGCTATTTTGGTTCAAGGTATTGAATAAAGTGTAGTGATTGGTCAATCGGTTCGGTGATACATTACGAAGCATTCCCAGCAAATCTGAATTGCTGAATCCAGGAGACGAAATGTGCCCCAGTGACCCATTTCAAGACTGACGGCGTTCATTCTGACCGAAGTTTGCCCATGCGATAAAAAGTAGTCTTAATAGCCCTCCTTCTTCTTCCGCGAATTTCAAGCTTATTGCGTATGGCATATTAGTTTATTGCGTGCGCTCAACTTAGTGTTCTAGATGCACTTCCACAGTTATTAATTGAAAGCTTTCGATGCCTGTACCATTTTTGCATTAGTATAATTGTGTGGCAAGTACAATCATACTCTATGCCCAGGGAAGTCGAGAAATTTTCCAACCTGGAAAATTCCTAGACCGAACCGGGAATCGAACCCAGCCACCCTCCACAACATGGTCTTGCTTTGTAGTTGTGCCTTTACCGGCTGAGCTAAGGGAGCCCTATTATGAGGATTATGAAAAGAATCAACCATATTGTCGACTAGTTTTGGGACAACCTTCTACCAGCGATCTTAAGAAAATGCAGCAGTTTAACTCCAGATATTTGATGCAGATCCTATTTTCTCGAGTTTCTAGAAGAAAAAATATCACAATATTGTTCCACGACTAAATTCGAGTGGTAGGAAACGTCATTTTAAACTTCTCTAATTATGTGATCAATTCCAGGTGCATTCTTAGGAGAATTAAAAGAGAATTCTGAGAAGAGATCCAATCGAGTTCTGGGACAATTCAAAGTGAATTATGAAGAACATTCCAGGGGAATTATGGCAGATATTCCAAGATAATTCTTAAGAAAACTCCACGGGCATTGTGAGCAGAATTCCTCTTAAAGTGGAATTGTATGGATATTCTAAGATGAGGGTATTAAAATGAAAAATCAAATGTTGAGGTTAGTTCCAAAGGATTTCTTAAAAGAATACAAATAGAATTCGCATTTAATTTAATTTAACGGTTGGAAGTTTTTAGGGCTATTTCGAGATAATTCTGAATTTATAGATTTGGAGGAGAATTCAAAAAGAATGGCGGGAGAATACTTGGGCTGTGAACCATTTGCCGAGTTAAATTTAATTCGTGGTTAAAAGTGACATTTCGAAAGCTATTTTCTATGTTCGAAAATCCCCGTGCTGTCGATCGACCGGTTTTCGAGCCACGGTTGTCAAAATTTAACTTCTTGTCTGTCAGAAATATCCATGCTCGGAAAGCAGGGTTATAGCATAGAGGTAACTCTAAGACTAGAAGCAACAATCAATACGAAACTATCGATTTTAAATTGGCTCACTACTTGACCAGCCTATTGGTCCCAAGCAAATCGATTAACGTGCCCCATTCTAGTCGAAATTCTAGTACTACACAATGTTTGTTTTGATTCGCTATGAAAGCTTGACAGATAAAATGAGGGGCTAGTGGATTTTCCTATGTTTCGAGGGGTGAATCGATTAACTTGGGACCAAAGATAGTACCAGAGCTGAGCCAAAAAGTTCAGCACGTTTCTTCGGGACCTACTAGTCTTAGAGTTACCTCTATGCTAGAAGGTCCCGATAACGTGCTCAACTTTTTGGCTCAGCTCTGGTACTATCTTCGGTCCCAAGCTAATCGATTCACCCCTTGAAACATAGGAAAAACCAATAACCCCTTATTTTATCTGTCAAACTTTCATAGCAAATCAAAACAAACATTGCGTAGTACAAGAATTTCGACTAGAATGGGATACGTTAATCGTTTGCTTGGGACCAATAGGCTAGTCAAGTAGTGAGCCAATTTAAAATCGTTAGTTTCGTATTGATTGTTGGTTAGTCCAGACTACAGAGTTATAACAACAATCAATACGAAACTAACGATTTTAAATTGGCTCACCACTTTAGTAGCCTATTGGTCCCAAGCAAACGATTAACGTACCCTATTCTAGTTGAAATTCTATTACTACACTATGTTTGTTTTGATTCGCTATGAAAGATTGACAGATAAAATTAGGGGTTATTGGTTTACCTATGTTTCGAGGGGTGATTCGACAAGCTTGGAACCGAAGATAGTACCAGAGGTGAGCCAAAAAGTTGAGCACGTTTCTTCGGGACCTACTTGTCTTAGAGTTACCTCTATGGCTGTATCAACAATCAATACGAAACTAACGATTTTAAATTGGCTCACCACTTTAGTAGCCTATTGGTCCCAAGCAAACGATTAACGTACCCTATTCTAGTTGAAATTCTATTACTACACTATGTTTGTTTTGATTCGCTATGAAAGTTTGACAGATAACATCGGGGGTGTGTGGATTCATGCAGAACATGCAGGGGTGAGTGAAATAGCTTGGGACTGCTTGGGACCGTTGTTCTGGTACTGAGTGAGCCAAAAATAATAATGATTTTCTTCGGGACCCAGTGGTCTTAGAGTTACCTCTATGGCTGTATCGTCGAGTTAAACTCACTTTTCTAGACATCTGGTTAAGGTTTATTAAGGTCTTAGATGACTTTGTGACTTAGATGTTAAACTTGATGTTTGATGATGTTTGATATTATGATATGATATGTCAAAAATCGATGTCTGACGCCATTTTTGAATCATAGATGGCGGCCATCGGGTTCAGAATTTTCAAATACACTACAATATGGGTATTTTCGGAACGAAGACGACGCTTATAGCAACCGGTGGAAACTAATGATTTTAAATTGGCTCACTACTTGACTAGCCTATTGGTGCCAAGCAAATCGATTAACGTACCCCATTCTAGTCGAAACTATAGTACTACCAGGGGGTGGAAACTAACGATTTTAAATTGATTCACTGCTTGAGTAGCCTATTGGTCCCAAGTACTTCTATGGCGTACCCCATTCTAGTTGAAATTCTATTACTACACTATGTTTGTTTTGATTCGCTATGAAAGTTTGACAGATAACATCAGGGGTGTGTGGATTCATGCAGAACATGCAGGGGTGAGTGAAATAGCTTGGGACTGCTTGGGACCGTTGTTCTGGTACTGAGTGAGCCAAAAATAATAATGATTTTCTTCGGGACCCAGTGGTCTTAGAGTTACCTCTATAGATCAGTGCACGGTCCCTAACCTCACTTTTTGCTCCCTATCATTTTGCTTCTGAGTAAAAGAGATAGCAACGAATGGGAGCCAAAACAAACCACCCAAAACTGTCAAAGCTTACGGGTGAGAGAAGAGTGCGGCAAATCTTCATGAACTGTCCAATGGTACTACACAATGTTTGTTTTGATTCACTATGACAGATAAAATGAGGGGTTCGTGGATTTTGCTATGTTTCGAGGGTTGCATCGATTAGCTTGGGAGCGAAGATGAGCTAAAAAGTTGAGCACGTTTCTTCGGGACCTACTAGTCTTAGAGTTACCTCTATGCTTATAGTTTGGCTTATTTAAGTGCTTACTTTAGGTTGTGGGCCCGGTCGTGTTCCGAAAGTTTTACGGGAATCGCAAAGTGTTGTGATTGAGGAGGACCTACGTGGGGAGCGCTACCACCTGGTGCTGTTTGACGGATCCAACTTCAATGCATGGAAGTTCCGTGTGCAACTGCTGTTGGAGGAGCACGAATTGCTGGAATGCATCGAGACGGAGGTTGACAACGTGCAGGCACTCAAGGTGGAGGCAACCGATTCCGCAGAAGTCAGGCAGCAGAAGGCGGCCAAACGGGAAAAGCGTGTGAAGAAAGACCGGAGATGCAAATCGCTTCGATTTCGAGCGGAAAAGTATTGCCAGCAGGATGTACGTGAAACGGCAATTACTGAATTCTATCAAGGGTGTTCACTGCGGGATCATTTCCTGCGATTCGATCATCTCATGCGCGAGTACCGACTAACAGGAGCGGACATGGACGAATGTGACGTCAATTGCCATCTGTTTGTGACGCTTTGTCAAGCGTATTCGGCAGTTGTCACAGCCATCGAGACGATGCCGGAGGAAAAGCTGAACATGGAGTTCGTAAAATGACGCTTACTGGACGAAGAGACGAAGCAGAAAGGGCTAGCCGTCGAAACTGTTCCCGCGAGTATCCACCGGGATCGAAACAACAGAAGAAGAAAGTGTTTAAGTGCTTCGGTTGTAAAAAGGAAGGCCATAAGCTGGCCGAATTCCCATGTAAGAAAAAGGACAGTGAAAAAGTTAACATTGAGAAGAAAGCCAAAGCACATGTAGCGGAGCAAAAAGGCGTTTGCTTCGTCGGTGTGCGTGTCGAAAAGGAACGGGATATGAAGAGAGTGGATTGGTTTATCGATTCCGGATGTTCCGATCACTTAGTGAATGATGAATCCCTGTTCGATAGCTTGAAGCCACTTCAGAATCCAGTCGAGATAGCCGTAGCGAAATATGGGGAATCAATTACGGCCGTATATTCGGGAGCAGTGAAGCTAGTGTGCAACGTTAACGCAAATATATCATATTAACGATATGATCCATTCATGCCTTTTCCAAATATTGCAATGGCGACCCGCAAAATATTGCTTCACGCACCATCTAGCGTTGAAAAAGGTCAGCAACAATCATTCAATTACAATCGAGGGGTGCGAATATAGCACTTATTACAAAAGTAAGAGTTACATTATTTTCATTAATTACATTGTGTTTATTACTTTAAAATTTGTCTGACATGTCACTGTTGTCATTAAATAAAATAAAATGCTGAAATACATTCATTTGAAATATTAAACAAATTTTCCTTTGGTTTACCCCTCGTTATGATAAACAAATACATTGGTACACTTATAGAATTCCACAAATTTTTATTGGCGAATTTCCATGTAAAATTCCACATGATTTTCATGCGACCACACATAAACAGAATCCACATAGAAGCACATAATGAAATTTATGAGTCAAATGAATAGTATTTGTGGTTACACATGGCTTTTATGTGTACACATATTAAGTATGTGTCCGACACATAAATATTGTTTGTTGATCACATTGCAAAAATTCGTGTGTGGGACACATAAAA